CAGGTGTTGGGCCGGATGGCAGCGAGGACATCGTCCACCTCGGCCCGCCCGCTCTGCGGGGACACGGGCACAAAGGTGGCTTCTGCGAGCAGAGAACAAGCACGAGGTTTGCCGGGGAGCCCGAGAGCACATGGGGCTGCCTGCACCCCGCTGGGCAGGGCAGGAGTGTGGGGCAGCAGGTGCAAAGGCCCGAAACACGTTCCTGAGGGAATGGGGTACCCATTCCTGAGGGAATGGGGCATCCTGGTGGAGTCAGAGCCCTTTTGGGGGAAAGGGGAACAGCATGGAGTTCGTAGGTCCCACCATCCTCCACAGACATGCCCGTGGACAGAAGTCCACCAATCAAACCTCACCCTGCCCCTGTGCCACCCACCTGCCAGGCTGTCCTTGCCCAGCTGCTCCAGGGGCAGGCGGATGGAGTCGTGCTCCACACTGGATGTCACGATGTGCGGTGTCCCCGGGCTGTCCCCGGTCTGGCTCTCGAGGAAGTGCCTGCGAGCAGTGTGGATCACCATGTTGTTGGCCTGGGGAGAGGAGACAGAGGGAGGTGAAGGCCCGGAGGAAGCAGGTGCCCTTCGTCTCCACCGACCCCATCGCTGTTTGCTGGGGAGGGGATCGGGGCTCAGTGCTCCCACCTCCGTGCCCCCCGAGGTGAACACGATGTCCTCAGGCCGGGCCCCCACCATCTGTGCCAGGCTCTCCCTGGCTCTGCCAATCAGCTCCTTGGCCTTCCTGCCTGCAGGACAACACTTGGCAGCTCCCATGGCCCCCGGACACRGGTCTGGCCCAGGGAGCCCCCCTTGCCCCCCTGGTCCTTACCTGCAGGGTGAGCACTGCTGGGGTTGCCCCAAGCCTGGCTCAGGGCATCCTGCACGGCCTGGGCTGCCTCGGGGGCCAGCGGGGTGGTGGCGTTGTGGTCCAGGTACACCCTCCTGGGGGCAGGGGGTAGGTGAGGAGCACTGGGGGAAGGGAGGGGGGACACAGGGCAGGGCAAGGTCTCACCCCTCAGACGGGTCACAACGCGCCTCTGCCGGCTCCGTCCCAGCGCCCATCGCTGCCCGCACTGTCCTGTCCTGCTGCCAGCACCGCCGAAGCCCTGCCCTGGCCCCGCCCTGGCACCCGGGCACAAACACGTGGGCAGCACGGGGAA